TCCTGTAATTTGTAAAGCAAAGTTTTAGTGCTGAACTGGCTTAATACTCTTTGGCCCAGTTCTGACTCCCAATTCATGTGTGCCCTGTGTTATATGTACCCTTGTTAGATGCACCATACATATAAATGGTCACTGGGACATGCCCATGTGGTAGCAATGTTCTCAACTACCAACCTCCCCAGGAATGCAGGTTGCTCTGAACTCACTCCTAACTGCAAACACTCCAGGACAGATCCTTGTTGCCCAGTAAGGGGTGTTTGGGGGTGTTTAGCCTGGAGAAAAGGAGGCTCAGGGGAGACCTTATTGCTCTCTATCAGCAAGGAGGCTGCAGCCACATGGGGTTGGTCTCTCAGTTTCCAACATGACAGTGTTTAAGCTTCACCTTACAATTACCAGGCATTTTTCACTGATGGCCACCAGACAGTATATTAATAGAATAATTAAAAAAAAAAGCCAACTTTGGCAGTGGTTCACTATAAATCAAAGCCAAAAATAAGACAGGCTGCAAAGTATTATCAGTGGACAACAAGCAGAATATGCAACAGAAGCAACAATACGCTCTAAAATATTACACGAAATGATACTTGCAGGAATTAATTCAACCTATGACTTCTGTGAACAGTGAAGGTCACAACAGCTTCAAAAACACGTAATTCCCCCAACACTGCAGTTCGAAAAACTGCAGTCAGGCAGATGAGTACACTCTGCCCTGGATCAATGGCAATGACTATCTACACCCACAGCAACAGTGTCTGATGGTAAAGGCTTTGGGAAGTTAGCACTGAGCTGTGGGGGCTGATTACAGGGTTAAACAGAGCAGTAACCTCAGCTAAACACAAGAGGGAAGCTGACCTGTCTACACAAATACTTGCCTCTAGTCTTCAGCGAGTAAGGCCAACGTCAATATTAATGTGATCAGCCATGAAATATTTTGCAATTTTACCCCTTAAATTAGCTTGCCATACTGTTGTCTTGCAGTTGGATGGTTAACTCTGGAATAGGAGGAAAGGTTTTCCACAGAGAGGGCAGGCCATACTGCAGCAGCACGGACTGAGACTCCTGAAATTGCTGACAAAGAGCAGTACTTGATGCCAGTGGTAGCCAAATCCTCATATGGAACGTACACCCAAATTCAGTTATGAGAAAGTTGGCTTGCAGGTTTCATTTCCTTCAATCTTGTGCTTCTCATCCCAAGCTTCTCTTTGTTTTCTTTTCTTGATCAACCACATCTAGGCTGAATGTCTGAGAGCAGTCATACTTCCCTCAGGTGGAGTGGTGAGTAGAACATACAACAAAAAGACTGATTATATCAGGTAGTCAGTAGAGACAGGTCTATGCTAGTTAAAGGAGAGTGGCTTACATATTATTCTAAGATTTAAATCCAGTTTTCAGCCATTAGCCTAATACACTTCTGCCTTGGACTGCTCCAATTTTTCTTCACTACTTTCTCCCATGACAGGAGGCTCTGTCGTGAAACTTCTCCCTTCATCTGCCTCTTCACTACTATTTCCCTTCCCAAATACATATTCTAGCTTTGACAGCATAAAACAGCACAGAGTTAAAACTAAATTTACACACTTAGAACTTGTTACATCCACTAATCAATAAAATATGACTTTAAATTCTATGAAATAGGTAGAAAACCAAAACTAAAATGAACGAGTGAAACCATTTCATTCAGTATCTCAAATGTATAAGAGCAGGAGTTTAAAACTTCAGTGCCAAAACTCAAGTCTTACTGCTGTACAGAATACATGAAAAAGTAATTTATCAACCTGTTATGAAATTCTGTGGTAACCTGCTTCCAAGTTCAGTGTATTTTCTTGAAGAAGCTGTAAAACATAAGGTATTTTCATAATCTGGATTGGTTTATTTTCACGCATTCAGGTGGGATATTCAATTAACACAGTCTAAAAGACTATTTTGCCCATGGTAAAATTTTTTACATTCTAAAATGCCATATTCAACACTGTGTAACATTTGGACATGGTTAGATTGTTACCCAACTAATCTCCTAGTAAAATGAAAAAAAATCACTACGTCAAAATTTATCTTTTCATAAAGTTCTGCAGAAGATTTTATAATACATCTTTTCCCCTGTGTTTCACTGATATAACTGCAGAGAAAACTAAATTCTAACATGTAGATTTTATTAAGAATAGAGTACTAGCATTTTTAACTATGGGTATTCTCATCCCTCCTCACAACTTAGGCAGATGCATCCAATTAATGATGAATCATTCCACATAAATTTCCTGTTTATAACATACTGGCAATACCACCATGACAACGTACAGAGCATAAAATGGTTATACATCATCGCTGTTTTTGTTTAGAGACCCCAAAAAGCGAAGGGCAGGGGTGTCCCAGGAAAGAAAATGTTTACTTCAGATTTCTAGAGGAAACTGCGCTACTTTGAAGAAACTACACTGCTGTATGCAGATAGAAATGCGTTTGCTACACACTGGATACAATACACAACCAGGACCACTACTAGAAAAAAAGAAAAACTCATTTATTGTGATCCTAAGGGCTGTTCAGCATATTTGTAATGAAATGATGCGTGAAGGAAATTGTGGATATTTTGATCTCTAAGCACAAGGGCAGTTAAGAACAGTTGTTCTTCTGTGGTGTTGTACTCACTGAAAGCTGGGCCACAATTCCACAGAAGGTGCTGAAAAAGATAAGAATGAACTAGACAAACAACCTGGTTCTGTTTATCCATGCTGTATCTTCAAAATAACCAAAGGAAAGTGCTTCCCAGTGTCAAAGGAAAATAAAGGCAGCAGAATATCTGCCTGTATCCTCAACTGAAAATTCTGGTCAAGTTCCACTTTGTGAAGTACGAGTCCATTCTCATTCTACCTGTTTTTGTTGATTAATTTCTACCTTAAAGAAGTTTTCCTCTTTCAGGAATGCTCTTGTCTTCTGCAGGAGCCCCTTGCCCACACACTCCAGGATCAACCTATAACATCCTAGTTTCTAATCCCTCCTAAGGAGGCCTGTCAAGCTCCAAACTCTGAAAGCTCCCAGATGTTCCAGAAGTGCTTCTTTTAATTCCTGAAATGCTCTGTGGCTGAAACAACCAACATCAGGAAGGAAGCTGATCACAGGCAAGCCTCTCTTTCATTTTTAAAATAATGACTGATAGAAGGGAACACTTTTTTCATACTTTCAGACACGAACTTTACATTTCAGTGGTCTTATGTGAAGTTTGGTTGTTTGCTTTTGTTTAAAAAAAACCCAGGGAATGTTTTGGGTGCCACAAACAAAAGAGGTTCCCCATAAAAGGTAACAAAATCCAATTTGCCACTGAGTATAGTACTGAATTTTAAAACAACCTATGTTCTCTTGAAGGTTTGTTTTAAAAAACAGGTTGGTATATAGTTCCATTTTTTTTCTCATCTTGAAAGTTACCAAACTGTACCCTGCAGAGCCTAGGATAGATACTTCCACAGCATGTGGGCCATCCTTTAAATATGGCACTGAAAATATTTCCCTTACCTTTACTTTCTATCCCTTTTCATGTATTTTGAATTCAGCTTTCAGAGTTAGAAAACAGTGACAGGAGTCTCAGGAGCATTTTTAAAGGTATTTAAGAGTGCAGCCCTGTCTGAACTGTGAGAATGGAAAGGTCTATGAGGAACAAAGACTATTTTTTTGGCTATCACCTTCTTCCTAGTCTTAGGGGGAAATTTTCTGTACAAGCTCATTGTTCTTGATCAGGCACTGTAAAGCACACACCTAAATGAAACGCTCCTCAGTGCAAGGGGTAAATTATCTTTCATCCAGTCTGGCTCACCAGTGGTTAAGATTTTAAGACTTTTAACCCTCAGCAAAGAAACTGCTTTGAATTTTATTCAAAGGTTCTTCTCACTGACCGTTTTGACTGCTGAGGTTTTAAAGGACACAAGCAGAAACATTCCAGAACACATAATAAATAAACTGAACACAATAAAGGTAACTAGGTCTTTCAGAAGTCTGCAAGGACTTCAGGAGATGAGCAGTTGATTTCTTCAAGCTGAGCAGAGAAGCATGAAATGAACTTCAAGTTGCAACTAACTAGGGAGACAAGTAAGAAAGAATATGTCCCATTTTAATATTACTTAATACTAGGATTGAGAAGGTATTTTAACAGCAAAGAGGAAGATCCTGTAATGGAGGAAAGCCTCAAATCTAGAGTGATCTGGAAGCACTAATTATTTTAAGTGATGGCAATTTTAGAGGTCTACACATGCCAGAATGTAGCTTCTATTTTAAAGCACTATGAAGTCTATTTTAACTGAGAGGAACAAAATTCCATTGATTCTTTAGAGAATAAACTTAAGAAAACTCTTAGAAAAACACGAGTAGAAAGCTTGCTACTAGCTCTAGTGATAAACTTATTAGTTTTCACTCTATGCAAAGGAAATGGAACAATATTAAGGTGAATGAATTTAGGTGTAGATCAAAAAATGAAGGATTATGCTGCCAGGGAGTGAAGGATTATCATCACTTACCTCCCTCATCCAGAAGCTTCCCACTCAGGGGCTGGGATGTATCTGAAGAGTAACATGTAATGGAAATTTGTAGCATTAAATTAACTGCAGCTGATTGGAAGCACCTGATGGAGAAGAGGTGAGAATACCTGCTGTTTTAGAAGCGTGAATAGGATAATCCCCAAATCTGACTTTCTGGTCTTCTGCCCTGACATTAACTATTAAGGTTAAAATTTGTCTGAACACTGGAAAAAATACTATAATAGTCAGTTACAATAAGTTACTAGAGAGTAGTTTCCAGACCAATAAAAAGAAAATAGGCTCAACTTTTGGTTTTTAACTGAAATCATAGCCTCATGGCACCAGCACTCAATAAGCAGGCAGTACACTCAGCATCAAAAGGACACTCAGGTTTTCGTTGATCAGTACACGACACAGCCGGGAAACCCAAAGCACACCTATCATCTCCTCAACAGACTAGTTAAGTACGTTAAGTCAAGGCTCCAGAAAACAAAATCTTACCTAGTAAGTGTGTACTCCCTGAGTCCTGAATGCAGGTTCATGGCGGAAAAAGTACCTATGCATCCACGCAATCGCTTATCCCGACCGATCTTCCACGTTACAAACAGTGGGCTGTTCGAGGGAGGAAAAGAGAGACATGATCACAGGAGCAATTTTGACAGTTGGTGTGCAATTTCAGCAACAGTGCCCTTCCATTGCAGGCAACGGGGGGGCCAAATCTCTAGAACAACTCTATTATATCATGTGATATAACAGAAAATAAGATTACTGGAATAGTTCACCAAGAATGAAACCTCTTGGTAACGGACCTGATATGCTGAGTGTCCCTCACTGTTAACCCATTAACCTTCTCCTGTGAATGGGAAAAGCCTTGCCTTAGAGACCTGTACATAAGGAACCCTTTATGGAAGGGAAAAATACCTCTGTCACACCATCCCTCCTCCTGGACACAAATACTTTTGGACCTTAACACTGCTGGCAAGAAACAGAAATCCTTGGAAGATAACAAAAGTTAGGAACGCTCTCTAGAGAACTGCCTGAGGAAAAGGTATTTTCTCCATGAATGCCAAGCCAGTAATCTCAAAAACGACCAGGAATGGAGCAAAATCTCTTAGTAAGTTGAATATGTCTCAATTATAATTCTTGATACGAAGAGATATAAGAAGCCCCGCTGCACTAAAGCTGACAGAAGCGAGGTGCATCTCCGACATTCTGGCACCTGTGACCACCACACACACACTTAAGGATGCACTGCTGACTTGTTGCCAAAGCCATTTGATCAGGCACTGCTCTTCAGCACCATACACACGAACAAACCCTTCTGGTTTTCTTTATGGCTGATTCGTGCCCAGTCTTATCACCACAGGCCACAGCCATGGCTGTGAAGACCAAGAGGTCTAACACGAGGTAACCCACCTCAGGCTGGCACCTGAGAAGCAGCAGACAAAGCAAACACAAGTATCACAGGTGCCCTTAAGGAAGGCAACAGATACAGAAGCATAGATGGAGTAAATTCACAAATTCACAAAAGTCAAGTTGGCTGCATCGAAAAGTAAGAATCATCTTCTGTTCCAGCTATCAGCTGCACATGATGAGTACATTTACAACAGTGCACAGTGAGATTAACAGTGCTGCATGGAAAGACAGCCTTTGGTAACTGTCTTGTCTGACTCCTCATCTGAAGGATCTGCTTTGTGAAACAGAACCTCCCTCTCTAGCTAAGTTGAGATTTTAAAAACATACTAAGGCCAGGAGCTTTATATTATATGAGTAGATCAGTCACTGCACAATTGCACAGCATAACAGAGCTGCCTGAAACTGTACTGGGGTACATACCCAGGGAGTGTGTGCACTCTGGACTCTCAAGAAGCAGCCCATATCCCTTTTCTCCTGCCATTCCATTCACTTTGTCTGATGTGGCACAAGATATTCATCATATGATGGCAGAAAACGAAATGCCTCTCAGTCCCTACAGCACCAAAGCAGCTGCATCCAGTCCTCTCCTAACCTTCTAAAACCTGTTCCTATCACCATCACCTGCTGGTACAGCAACTTCCTCCTTACTCAATTATGCTGGACAAGTTCCCTTCTGTCAATGATGATGAATAAAAGAGGAAGCTGAAGTCATAGCTTTCTTTTGGATTTCCTTTTATTTCTTTTTGACTGCCACCCTCCTGCCTATTTTAAAGTTGTTTAATAAATACTGAAGAGCACAAAGGCAGAAGGGCGCATTACCTAACATTTAGCAGAATGTGGGCTATTACATTATTCTCCAAAAGTGGCATTTTATTACCATTTTCAAGAAAGGTATCCCAGTTGCCCTTAATGGCATCAACAAAATTATTAGATGGCAATGGCACTGAGGACACCCTTGCACAGAAATAAGCATGAATAAGATTCAAACTGGACTTTAGGATTATTCTCTTGACCTTTACCTTTGGATTATGAGATTTGTTAGCTGTAATACACTTAGTGGAAGGCTGTAATTCAGGGAAACATACACACATTTACTTTCTTGTCAAAACTGAATTGTTTCTAGGATGCAGCATTGCTGCTGCTTTAAAAGGACAACAGAAGACCAGAGATCAGCACTGGATGTCAAACAGTACTGAAGCATCTGCATATACTTTGAAGGTCCATGTCAATGAGTACCAACAGAAAATAAAGGTTATATGCATACACTTTTGTAACAGTGGTAGCAGGAGTATAAACATCCTGTTCAGGCTAAGCCTGACACCAAAAACCCTGACTAAAGATGTTTTTCCAACCTTTCAACTTCTATATTGCTCCCCTGGAGCCACTAAAGGTATCAGCATGTCTACACAGAAGATCTAATCCTACTGAATAGAATTGCTTAATTACCATCGCAGATGTCTTCAAAGAGTGATGTGGACCAAAGGTTCAGAACAGTCACTGACATATTCAAGAAACAAGGCTGAAAAGGACCTTCAGGGCCCCTGCTATCGTAAGGAATAATTATATAATTCCGTTCATAAACGATCCACATTCTACATGTGAAAAGTAGAAATAACGGGAACAAAACCTCCAAACCAAAAAATTAGAAAGTTGCCTTAAAACCTTGCTTTAGTTCAGAATCCCTGGAACCATTTTTATTTCCTGCCAAAATGGTTTCCCAGTCAGCTTGTACCTAGCTACTCTTGTGCCAACACTGTCCTTCAGTTTAAGTAGTTCTTTCCCTTCCTGGTTATTATTCCCAAAGTATTTATAGAAAGAATTCACAAGCCTCTTCAGGCTTCACTTTGCTGAGCTGAATGGGTTGTACCCAGTCAGTTTGCTCTCAAAGGGGACCTTTCCATTCTGACCATCACATCTCATCTCTACACTTTTTTCAGTTTACATTTTCCTTTTTGAACATCCACGTCCAGAACCGGAGGCAGAATTACACAGGTGGGTCTTGCACCTGCATTGACAGTTCCATCCTTGAACTAGAAACACTGACAATTTATTTAGTATTCTTACAGCCTAATGTTGAGTCCAAGCCTTTACAGAGCATTTCTAGGCTTACACTAAACAAAGACCACAGGAAACCTGCTCACAGAAGCTAAGCAAGCTACGCAGAGAAGCGAATCTTTTTCTTTCTAGTGATGCTCTTTTACTCTTTACTGGTATCCTTGGTTTCAGCTGCTTGCCGATCTTCCTCAAGCCTGCAATGCTTCTCTTGTTTGAAAGCCAGTAACACACAAATAAACTTGCTCTCTAACTTCACTGCAAATCTGAGGCTAAGGTGCCAAACTGCAGAGATACTGATGTCAAAAGCAGATAAAGAAACTGGTGTATTTTCAACTTGAAAAAGAAAAGTTCTTATTTGCATCTGATTTTCTTAAAATAAAAAGGAGGAGGTTTTTTTGAGCAACACATTGTTAGACCTAAAAATATTTAGTAAAAAGCAGAAGGGACAGCAGATGTGATGCTGGGAGTCCCTGCTATCCAATGATGTACAGCAAGGATGATGGTCTGCTGGAAATCAGTCCTTTTTTGTCTAAAGAAGTTTGAACCCCCATATCTCACAAGAGTCAAAGAGCCTGTTGGGTTGAGTGCTCTCACCTTTCTGAGTGGTTCTGTCTTGATGTAGTCAGAAAGCTGCAGGGGGGGTTGTTGCTTGTTAGTTTAACTAATAAACTAAAATCACGAAACCAGATGTTGCACTTCTCTGGGAGGTGCTCTAACAACCAGCTTCAAGTAGTTCTCGTACTCAGTTTAGGATAAAACACAAAAGCGTAACAGTTCTGAGCTTGGGAGGGAGCTCTCTTGAACCAACAGACTCGAGACCTTATCTGATGGGTTATACTGCTTCTCTTTGTGGTATCAGGAACCCACGAGCCACACCTGCTGCTGACAGTGTAAAACAGCTGATCAGATATATTTTTTTCCTACTTTCATTTGCAAAACTGAATTAAAGACAGAGTTGAAACAGAGTAAGAGTTTAAACTGAAATTGCTTCCTTATATACAAGTGCAGTCATCAAAAGATGCATAGGTAAATAGCTTGTCTCCTTGTCATTAAAATACATGAGTGTATCCAATACCCTAAACACTGACCTTAAACACAACCCAGAAAATGTGCAGCTGAGGCCCAGGTGCACAGATCACCCAACCAGTGCTGCCCACGTGCCACTCCAGCTACTACCACACTATTTTCATTAATGAAGAAACTAGGACAGCCTTATACCTTATTTGAGCATTAATCTGCTACAACTTTGGGAGAACTGGAGCACTTCATGTGCAGGTCACAAGGTACAAAAACCTATAGAGAAGCTGAAAGCAAGTATCAAAACAGTCTCTCCTACAGCATGCTTACCAGTGCCCTAAGCACACTTGCTGATGTTTCACAACCAAAATCTCCTAAACCAGTTACTGACCTGCTTGCTATATGCTACCGAAAATATTTAGACTGAAAGCAGAAGTGTGCAAGCTATTTCGGAAATCAGTCAGCGTGCCAATAACTTACACTGACATCATGCAGAATGCACTGTTAAATATAAAGCACTACCGGATACAAGCTGCCTCCTATTTACCAAAAAAAGGGAAGGGATTCTTGAAGTTGGGGTGTGGGGGAGAAAGCAAGAGCTATGAATAGAATGAAAGAGAAAAGGGAGCAAGGTGGGAAGAACAGGGAAGAGGACAGGCAACAGATCAAGAATATTTCTCTACTTTTATAAAAGTTGAGTGAGATTTTTTTTTTTTGGTTTCATTTGAAGACTTCCAAAATAATATAAAGACTTGAAGAACTTTGAAATGAAAAGGATTAAACTTGATGAACTGAAAGGTACAATAATATTTAGATAGATATTTTATTTGTAGTTATTGAACCACTATCTTTTACAGCCAGAGAAGGGAAGAAAAGCCTGTGCAACCCTGATGTTACTTGACACCCAGGGCTGTAGGATCTGACACTTTCAAAAGCATCACACTCCCCCCTTTGTGAGACCAGAGTGCTTCCACTTCAGCTCTGAGGATTTCCAAGATTCCACACACCCAGAAAGAATCCAGAATAAGCAAAGTTGCACTGGCAGTGTTTTCCTTTCTGTTTCACACAACTGAACAAGCTACTGTTCCAAGTTCTAGAGATTCTAACATTTATATTCTTTAATT